ACTTCAAAGTCTTGGATAACTAAATCGTGCGATAACAGGTTAATCGTCTGGTTGCTAATTCAAATAAGTCATTAGGAGTGAGATGTTCCTGTTCCGCAGATATGAAGTGTAAGCCGTTGAGTTTCGTGTAAAGGACTTCACGAGACACTGTTAAACTAATTCAAAACTAATAATGATAGGTAACCGAGATTCCACGCGAAAGTAGTGAATCCCCTAAGCTTTTCACAAGCTATTTTCCGAAGCTGACTGCGCAAATCATATGCGTTGCCTGTTGTGGATTGCCGTCATGAAACGTCAATGATTTTGGATAACACAATATGCCGGTAACTGTTGTTTGCTCACCCCAAAAACGTGCTCAACTCTCTTCCATAGCTCCTGAAGATCAAAAGCCCACATAATTGCAATCAATTTTAAGGAATATCAGCTGCGATGAAACCAAATTTGAACATGCAACTGGGGTTAAACATCCAAGCAGAATCACGATCTCGTCGCTTCAGTAGACCAAAAGCTTTTCCATTTCGCCACAGTTAGGCAGTTTCCCTCGTTCAAGCAGTCATTTCTTGTCAGACAACACTTAAATAACTTGGATATTATTGAAGCCATGGTCAAAATAGTTCAATCAAACTATGCGATGTAGTTGCGAAGTCACGCAAACAATTTTACTAAATGTTGGCATTGCTCTGAATCAAGCAAAACGTTAGATGGAATGTTCTGCCCACAACTGCCACTCCGAGTTGCATGGTGCCACGCAGGCATGGTCCATACGTGGTCGTCTGTAAATCTTGCTTTGCCTATACTGTCGCATGAACCACCAAGTAAACATTTAATTTGGTTATCAAATAGATGTTTTCTTTATGCCAATGTCGATTGTTCTGACAATCGACATTTGGAAAAGTAACAGGATGCCAGCAGTTCAAACTGGTCTCACCCACTTCGGAATCCCAACGGTCTAATCCACGATTACCCACTAGCAATTAAAGATTAAAGACTCTACTGTTGAACTACGTTCGACTACGAGAGTTGCGACAAGTTACCAAAATAACAACGTTGGTGTATCAAAGAATTTTCGCTTAGCATTTTATGGTGGATAATATTCCTTAAACGAGAACAGCCAGTCAACCAACTCCAACTTGAGATGGCGATTAGCAAATGTCAGTAGACTGATATCAAGACCGCTAAGCTCATTCAATCATCAGATGAAGTTGAGGACTTAGTTGACTCTCTAACAGTGATTTCCGCAAAAAGGCCCACAGTGACCACTTCTAATGGATGATATCCTTGAGGGAGAGGTTTTTGGGATGATTTCAATATTGTTTTCAAAGGCTTATAAACCAGGTACGTTTTGCATGACATTAGGAGGTTTAGTAGCAAAGAGTGTTGACGTCAGAATTAACCGCAATTAGTCAAATTAGTTCTACAGCACTCTCAGTCACGACTAACATAGGGTCAAGTAGATTCGCTCTTCTTAAGCACTAGGTCATAGTATGTATTTACCTAACGCTCTGGTTTCCGTTCATAGCTACATAATCGTGTTGCATAGTCATCACATGGAGAGGTTGTACATGCAGCGAGTGGCACATTTTTTTGGTGCATTTTCACCTGCAGACGGCAACGGACGGTGTTTACGTATTACGAACATTTCAGAATGAAGGGTTACGGAGTATTTTACTTTTGAAGATATCCATATTGAAGTACAATCAATGATCAAGATGACTGAATAGTTGTCCAGGAGTTAAGGCTATCTTCATGTGTCAGATGACAGAATTTTAAAAGGATTTTTTTGTTACTCGCGTTTAGAGGATAATCAACACATTTTGCAGCATGAGTGAGCTTTCCCGTGCTATCTGATTTCTCACAAAGGAATCTCAGGTTGGTCTAGGTTAGCAGGAACTGGACGTGCCATACTTGAGTTGCAAGTACTGCTCGAACTCCATACATGTTGATTCATCCCTCTGCATTGTTGGGATACCAGTGACTCACATCGCCACTGGCTGGAAATCCTCCGTGACGCGTCGTAGGCAAGTGCACAGTTGTTTTCCATATCTCTTAACCTACCGTTGGCTGTGTTTTTATTCGCCTCAGTTAATAAGCTTCGATCCGTTTGTCGTACCCAACGCAAGCCAACGTCTAATTGCACCAAGGTACCCGGACCGGTGCACACACAAACCTACGCAGGGTCAAGTTAAACTCCAGCTGGTAGCATAAGCTGAATGCCGATTATTCACAGAAGAATTAATGCGTGCTTGATCATGACTATTGGTTATTTACCTGTCATAATTTTGATGTACATAACCTGCTTAATCATAGGATTGCTGCAGCCTTGGCTTGACCTCACAAACGTCTCATTTGAAAGAGGCGGCTGTTTTCGAGGTCACTTCATCTGTAGAACTTCACATATTCAATACCCCACACAAACAGTTATTTCCTGTTGTTATGATGGTAACTCCAGCTGCTATTTTATTGATCTTTTGCGACACCCACCTCACTGATTCCTTGTGTGTGTGCCGCATCCAGTCCTGAATCATTTCCTCGTCTGTCTCCCTTTCATGGGATTTGCTTGCGCTCCCCAATCGATGCATGTGCTTCTTTCTCTGTGTGACCCGGATGTTGATGTGGCTGTGGTGCTGTTTTCGTGAATTTCAGCCGATTTATGAACGCCTGTGTGCTTGTGCGCGTCTATGGGTCTGCGCAACAATCGATGGCATTCGGATGCCAAATGTCACGCGAGTCGTACACTGTCCGCGTTCCATGTACAGGCGCACACCGACAGCGCATCCTTACAAAGGGAAGCCATCGGTATCGACACCAGAAACGTTCGATACCGTCCACTCGTATACTGCTGGCGCCAATTTCGCCACTTCTGCGGTATTTTTTTAGTCAGGTCCCCCAGTTTTTTAACTCGCATTCCATGAAGTCTATGGGTAGTATACGTCTGACATATCACCAGTCAAAATGCAAAATATTTTTCCTCGGAACAACTTCTTATCTCTTCCGTTTTCCACTGTCTGCACCCACGGAAAATGTTACTCACAATGTAAGCTTAATGAGATCTTTACCTTCTCATTGCATTGGCTTTAATCTCGCACACAAATAAGTACCAACACAACGTACTCAATCATGCTTGCTTGTGACGATGCGTGCCAGTAAACTAATTCTCGTCAAGCCTTAAGCGGCGATTGATACCGATTCCATTCTGTTGCTACCTGCATCTCACCTTGCTCGAATGAAATGTTGGACAAGGATACAGGTTAATTCATGTGGTTTTCTAATTCAATCCAGAAGATATGATGAAAATTCTGACTGAATTGCATTGATTGGTGTTGTTTAGTACTTACCCATTCACTTGAATCGTCTTTACTGGTTTGAACGTTGTCTACAAGTGGCCAGAAGTTCCACTGTGTTGTTTGCGACCGCTTGTCAAATCCGTGAAGCCACCTCCTTTAGCTACCTTTAGTGCTACTCCGGTGGTTCATTAGTAAGGGTTTCTCGCACACAGCATTGAAATAGTATTTCCTTGCAATAGCTCCAATAAATATCGATTTTCTTTCACCTATCCCAACCACATTCTCTTTCGTTCCTTGGGCCGGAGTACACTTTTGAAACCAGTCCACTTTATTCTTAATTACTGATACCTTTATGATGGTAACTTTGGTGATGGACACACCGTCGTCAATGTTCAGGATCCGTAGTGTTCAATCTTCGCACTTCTCTTATAGCCGTTCTAAATGTTTGCTGCTCAGTTGACTGCGCGTAATCGCTAGTAACTTTGAACTTTGGTTCACCATCAACTGTTTTGCACAGTACGGTTCGATTGCTTCAACCGTTTTGTTTCCTCTGTCAGCTGATCGACAACTTTAGGATATCCTTTCAGTTAGATTCCTGTTCATCTATGAATTGGTGGTTCAAGTTTCAGTGGTTGAAATTTTTGAACTTTATTTTTTCCGTTCGCTCGTAAGATACTTCAGTGTTGTATAAAGTGGTAACATTTCCGGGTCGTTTGTGAACATTCTATTACGATTTTATCGCCCGAATCAAATGCTATCCTCTTCGGTGGCTGTGATTATTTCAGTTTTTTCATAAAGGCTGGAAACAGTGAAATATTGGCAGTTACGTTTCACTGGGAATCCGATCGGGTTTTACTGCAAGCAGGAAACAGGTTATCGAACAACATTGGCTGTGAACTTTGTTTAGGTAGTTTGATCTGTGATTCACAGACAGAGGTAACTTAATAACTCACCTCTAAAACCATTAACTTCAACTTTAGTTCACTTGGTCTGCAACATTGTGGTCACCGGTGAGTTGACAACCTCCGAGAATCATTAAAATTTCTTGTTAGCAGCATCTGTAAGCCTTAAAATCCGCAGGTGTGCATTTAAGATTGATTCCAGCTTCTTGATAACTTACAACACATGTATCGAGAGGTAGCAGCTGTGAGCGGTTCTAGCAGCCGATTCCTTTATTTCCTCGGTAGAGTCAGATGATAAAGCCTAAAAATCTGCTCCTCGGACGTCTTATTGTAACTTGTCAACTGAAGCCTTTACGTGTATTCTTTACTCATCGTTGTACGGTTCACCAAGACCAGAGATGACCTCATAATTTATGGCCCAATATCCTATTTGATAAGCAAAGTTAACACTATGCCCCACCCAAGTCCAGGCTACTGCTGACCTGCCATGGTTTGGTGTGAAAGCAAATGGTTGTTGTAACCCAAAAGATATTATTTCTTCATGAGTTGTAGCGAAATTTTTCTCGTACAAAGGCACGCCTGTTTTGTTTCATTGCTGTCCGCCTTCTCACGCTCCTTTTACGTTCTGGTCCAAACACTTCATCTACAAACCGTGTCTGCGTTGCTCGTACACATATGCTGAGAAATTTGAGATGCTGTCCTCCGGTTTCCGAAGGAAGTCAGTAGCACAGTCTTTCTTGACCTACTACTCGACCAGTCTGTTTAATAGCGTTGCATTTGATTTAACGTCCTGGCCTTGTTCTCATCTTCTCAGCTCGAATCCGAATGTCGTGCAGGTGCTGTTGGTCGGAATGTCCATACCCTGTTTAGCTCAACTGGTTCCAACAGTCGAATGCTTCCACCCGAGCACCAATCATCTTTATCTGGCTGGCGAGAAAGTCCTAGTGGTTTCCGCGAAAGACGTGAGACAATATCAGAACCGCGCCAGACACGGCAGGCTAGACAGGTCAATCCATCCTTCGCCTCTCCAGAATTATTGCATTGGCAAACCCGCCAAGGAATGCCCCATGTGAATCAGTTCGGCACTCCGTCCAATTCCTACGGTCAACGGTCTCCCCACACGGGCTATGGACAGCCGCCGGGCGCTGCTCCCAGACCTATGTGGGAACCACCGACGAACGAAGCTGTTTCTGATGTGCCAGACCGCTTGATGAGATGGGCAGCCCAGGCGAAACGCACCGTATGTTTTGGTATACTCTCAGAGATACTAGGAAGTTTATTAAATCACCTCGACGGACTCATAGGTGATTCTGAATTGGCTTCATCGTACGAAACACCATCACCCATCTTTTTAACTTCAAAATGCTAACTCAGGCAACTTAGGTCTACATCATGAATAAAACTGACTGCAAGGATTCGCAGTGAGTCGGTTATGTGCGCTATGGACTTATTGAAGTGGACAAGCAACTGAACGAAAATTGGACTGGAACCCTGACAGAGTTCCCTAACAGATAATATGAGCACTTTTTGAATTGTTGAGCAAAAGCGCGCCATAACTGTCTCATTCTTCATGTTCCATATGTATATCTGTAAAAATAAGACTGTTGGTCCACGAGGGGTAGTCCAGCCATGTTGTGTACGGATATTCCGTCTTGCTTCAGCCGAATCGGCTCATCTCGAAAAAAAATCGTTCAGCTGTAACACCCTTTCGGCGCCTCGCTGCCATGCCACCCGGAGGAAGCACGAGGGCTGGGATACTGTCAGGTTGCCCAAACCTAGACAGGGGAAGTCGAGTGGCAGAGGTCGGGTTCTAACCACGGACCCTCCGGTCGGTAAATTCCCGCTCAAACCACTTGGGCTCATCTCGGAAGCCCCGGTTGTACTCATATGAGCACGCCAAAATAATTTTGGCGGACCGCGCGCAAATTTGGTCGCGGCGGTAGATATAGGTGCTAACCTCACTACCTCACGCCTCGGCTTGCCCAAACTTGAGTCACAAACTATTTGACGGCTCAGTTGTTAGTGGGTTCCTTGTTTATTGATATATTGGATGTCACCATCACTCCACATTCCAGATATTATAAGTGATGCTTTGAAAACACATTAAATAATAAACTCTAGAATTACAAGAACAGCAGACCGTGTTATCAGTTGCTTGTCGATGGATGCAGGGTTTATCCGTCCCCCTGTGGCATCTTATGCGATGTTCGAGAATATGACGAATTTGGAAGCTACCAATGGCTTCACTTACTTTTTATCTCCGGTGGGTCTTGTCTGTCTTTTGCTACTCTGACATAGTGTTTATTCAGCCAGGAAACGTGTTCCCTTTTATCCACATCAAACTACGCTCTTGGGTAGGCCAAATGCCATTTGTTGACATTGGATTGCTCCCTGATATGTTCTTCGGACTACGCTGGCTTTAACCCACACCTTTTCTGCGTGCTACGTGGTGTGCATCTGATTTGCTCATCACTTCAGATGGTAGATTGTGTAAATGTTGACCAGTCGGACGTCGTCCCTTCCTTTCTTCACAATCACCTTCATTGTGTCTCATCTTATCACATGGTTGACTATTTATACACTTAGCGTCTCCATCACAATACGGCTAACTGGAGCTTCATTTTACGTCATCTTGATGTTTGATGCAGTCAGCAGTTTGCACGTACACTGTTCGTTATTTACATTGTGTGGAACTCCTGCAACTTTGTTGCTATCTTTTATTTATCATACCCTAATGTTTGCTTAATTGTGCTTCCAACCAACTGTGGTGTGATAAAAGTCATCCAGATGAACCAAAACCCGAACGAACGACCTTGGGTGGCTGTAAAAGGTTTTCGACCCCACTACTACGTTCCCTGGTCCTTTTTGTCGTATGTTTTCGGCACTGAGAATGTATCAACTAGTCTGCACACTGTACTCAGCTGCGTAGTTTTGATATTTTCCGTTTGACTATTTTGCAGTTAGACTGAGTTAGGTAAGTACATATTTTATGTTATTAGTTTCTCGTTTTTCGCATCCTGTTGATTTTTTGTGGGTGATAATGGCTTTATCCTCATTATCCACATTATATGTGAGTACGTGTTTATGTGCGAGGGAGGTGCAGCTAAGTCTTTCCCACCACTACCTAGATGCACTTTCATTTGATGGCAGTGTTGTTTTTATCCGGTGCATTTACCCTCACCGTAAACCATATTGCAACTCGGTCAAAGCTGATGTTGCTGTTCTGGGTGTGAATTCCCCTTGTTGGTCTCGAGTGCTGTGACGTCCTTTTACTCTTTCTAATGCCGCCAGTGTAAGTCACTGATGCTAACCACAGTCTCTTACAGTTGGCCTGTTATTCCATTCTGGTTTGGGATGAATATAAATCTAATGACTTGGACTTAGCAATGTTGTGGAATGTAGGTAGCTCGGGTGCGCTGTTTGGTTGTTGGTCTGTTCGCCGAGCGTTTGCAATCCAACTGCCAAGCTCGGCGAACAGATCAACAACCAGACTTGGACTTAGTCCGACCTTTCACGAAACACTGACGGTGCACTGCGATCAACACCACAGCAGTCCACGAGATGAAAGCTTATTAGTGTTTCGCGACTTCTTCCTAAGTAGGTTTTCCGTGCACACTGAGGTGGCTCATTGATGTCAAACATAATGTTTCAACCAATTTTGCCAGCACTATGGTTGCGCTGGGTTTGTGTCACCGTTATGGTTATGCAGTGAGCTGCTGTCAAGGTCCAAGTCAGATTATAAATTTAGGTAAACCAACGAAAAGTTGGCCAAACTCAAGTTGAATGGACGTATCCTTGTACGAAAGCAGTCGTTTTCAATCAACCAACATAAACTTGAGGTCAAAAACAGGATGATCATATAATATTTCCAATTTCTGGAAATTTACGGAACCTAAATTTTCGCGGGTGGGTATATTTCAGCTTTATTTAGTTGTTTGGAAAGTCTCAACTCCATGGGGAAAAAATTGCAGAAATTGTGCCGGCAAACCAGGATAGTCATATAGTTTTAGCCCCAAAGTTTGTTTGATCGCCGTGCACCCTTGCTAATGCAGGTACCACACATCATTTTGTGACTGTACTAATCAATAAAAAACATCCTGTATTCTTTTCATGCATCCTACTTGACCGCTGGCTTTTAACAGATCACAGGATACCATAGAATAGTTGCCTCCGAATTTTTCAACGACAATTCTGAAGAGAGGACTGATGTGGCTTGTTTAAACTAGCATCTAACAGTTGTGAAGGTTTCTTAACCGGTGCTTTGTTTCTCGATGTTTTGCTTAGTTGGACCGATTTTTTGCCCGATATGCATGTCAAAAATAATTCCCTTCAAATCTGGTGTCCGGTGACTCTGCACCGCAAGACCGTGCGTACTTCCGAAATATGACTGCTCCCTCAATGACGCGGAGTGTCTTCCTTTGGATTTGTGATACAAAAATGGAATGTTTCGTTGAATTTAACAGTTCTTGGCTAATTGAGAGTAAAAAGCTACAGGAAACTCATTGTTCTCATGAATCGTGGTTGTAGGACGAGCGAAATGAGTTTCACAAATGAATCAATAAGGGTTTACGTTTTGCCGGAAAATAGTGAGCACAGTATATGTGAAATTCCAGTACAGGGAACACGAATCCCTTCCAGTTACCCTGTAATGACGTAATCAAACGTCGCTCGTCGTTTCCTGAAAGCGGTAGTGCTAGTCCAGGGTTAGAGTGTGTCAAATTCAAACGAGTGTGACCGAGTCCCACCTCGAACCCATCAATAAAATGATCGCAGTCAAGTCATCGTGTTACACTGTTCCTTTGCAAGACAGTTCCAGGCAAGTAGTATGGAACGGTGGAGATCATCCCCACAAAGTAACCGAGAATGAGCCACTTTCTGGTCCCTTCAGATTGATGGGGAAGCAGCTTCACAAGTGTTATTTTTGCGCTGCACCGACAAAACGAAACCAGCTGAGCACGCATTTTTCGCGCCTTTATTATTCGTTGTATAGTACCAGAGTCCATTCCGTTATTTCATGGGTGACTAAGAGCTGACTGACCAAGCAAATACTTAACTCCTCTTTCGACAGCAGCAGTAGTTGATTGGTACTTTTATATCGACGTACGAATTACGGTATTTGTCTTAACAGCCATATGTAGTAAGTCGGTGGGACAAAGACACTTGTGGTCGTTATGCTATTATAAGAACACTACAATTCGGTGCAGAGTTCGGTCTGCGTACAACTCACTGTTGGTTGTATCCATTTCATGGAAAGCAAAATATAAAAAATGCAATTGAACGGAGCTGTAGTGGACATCACAGAGTCGGTAGAATCAATGTATATTTCTAATCTTGGAAAAGTGGCTGTCCCCTTCTGAGTAGCTATTGTCTTTCAGTGCCTGAGGGTGGAGGTCAGCGGGGCAGTTTTGAACTTCATAAAAAACTGTCAGCCCCTGTGTTCCACATCAACAACCGCTCCGTCTAATGTGTACACATCTTTCCTACCGTATATTTGTGTGAAACGCCTTGCTCGTGGCCGTGACCCCTATACCGCGCATCGCCTTTTCGGACAGTTGGTCAGTATGCTAATTGCTGCCATCCTCCCGATGTTGTTTTATCCCAGTGAGCCTCTATCTCACACCGTTAGATTATGCTGATTTGCATTCCTTATGCGTCGTTTTGTTGCAGTTAGGTCTGATTCTACGGAGTCAACAGTCACCTATCCTTTATATGCGACCTGGTAGACGGTTGCCCACGTGCGTGAGGCCAATTCCATCGCTCTAGCAGCAAAAGGGAATTTTACATTCCTGACCAAACTAGTCTAGGGATTTCGTTTCAGTGACGACACTGTAAACGACAACTTTTCAGGTGCGATCCGGTTGATGACTGCCGTGCAACCCTTGAAAAGCACGAGAGTCACTACAGTCGCACCGACCTATGAGTCATCTTTGGATTCGGACCATGAACCTTTCAGTAAGGAGCAGTCGGACACATATACGTGTCTACGAATCTTTCTCCGCTATCATTTCTCCACTGCGATGCATTGCGCAACGTGTGAATAAGATGGGAAATTCATCAATGCTAAAATCTGTAATTTCCCTCGCGAGAGAGCATAAGCGTGTCGGACGCTTTCAGAAGTCCTATTGGGTAAGAAAGATCAACCTTCCCTATCATATATTCAAGCCCCCTTGTGTATTGTTATCATCACCGCTCCTGACTGAGAAGGTGCAGTGACGTCCAACCTGTTTGTCTCAAATCTGGATATCGCTGGGATGATTCTCTGCCACCTGGCCAGTCTCAGTGATCTATTCTATCGGGTTCATTCTTCAACAGTATCTCATATTACAACAGAATTATGTGCCTCTGAGTTGAGAACCTTGGAGCTGATTCCATCCATTGCCCCTATCTATGCCCAACTGATTCCAACACTCTTCATTACTTCACCTGCCATCCTTTTTATCGAAGGTCCTAACAGTTCAGTGGTCACTGCTCTATTGTTTGGTCTTTACCTGAATAACATATAGCTAAATCGTCTTGATGATGGTCCACTTCGGTACCTTGGGCAGCTACACCCACCGGTGTCCAAGTTTTCAATGGCAAACGTCCCAGAGTGAACGAATTCTCCCTATTTGTGAACCCTGGTCGCTTGGGAACCCTGTGTGCTGAGCGAGCTAGTAGGCAGCCCTAACATCTGCTCAACGGATACACCTCTAGATGTGCACCGTCTGTGTTTGCACCAGTGGAAATATCCCAGAGAAATAACTCGAATTGCTTTTAACACTTGCTCAACTTTGCTAATCCTCATCACCCTGCATAGATGCTTGTCGGCTAAAATTGACTCAACCCTGGCCGTGTTTAAGGAGAAGTCAATCATATCGGTCTATCCATTTTAAACACAATTACTCGGTTTGGGCATTCTACTTTCGAAGTTAAACGCTAAGTTCAAAGAGACTTATCCCAATGCAATCGTTTTTATATGTGACTTCGTGGGGCGATCTTTCCACCCCGATGTTTTGATACGTTATGTATTTACATGAAAAAAATCAAATAAGCGAAAGATCTAGCCCGTCCGATTAATTTTCATTCATTACAACTTATCTACCGCTTTTTCAAAATTTATACCTCCGCCCAATATAGTTTCGTTTTTTATCCACTACCTTCGCGGTCATCTTTTCGCCTCAATAAAGTATGCCCACTAGAATACCATGAACCCATTGTTGCTGTGTGACTATTGTCTTTCTGTAATTTTTTTCTTCCCTTAGTATACTGCCTTGGGGAACTTGTTCACTGTCCCGGGAGCGAACTTCTGTTCCTCAGGCAATGTGCGCCCTTCAAGTGATAATGGAACTAACTCAACCGATTGCTGGAACCCTCCTGACCTTTTTCCGTGAGTCTCCTTTTGGTTCCTTTTACCGCCTGATGTCTTTTCTGACTGCTCACCTCGCACTGACACCAGACAAAATCTAGGTCATTAGCCGACTTCCTGATTTTCTCCCTACCATAGTACATCTCGCATCCCAGGACTCAAAATCCTTGTTCTGCTCAAGCAAAATCTAACCAGTCGATCATCATGGATACTTTGTTAATCTCGCTTGTACCTCTGGACAGCTGTCCCTAACACGGAGCTGTTAACCACTCACTTGGTACATGCTACAAAATGATGGGATTGACTCCAACTCTAAACCTGAAATAGTCACTGAAATACAGAAGTTGTGCTACATAGTTTCTTTCTCATCTAATGAGAAATTAATACCAAGACAAAATCAAGTTTCGCCAAAATCCATTCCTCCCAATTTCCGTTGATTGTTTGTTCTCTCCTAGTCAGTCTAACTCCTTCACACGCCCATTAATTTGCCTTCATGAGGTCCTCCACATGTGTCGATAACTAATCGGACGAAGCGTTCTATCTATTTCCTAGCAGTCATGATTCTCTGAATTAGTCAACGGCTGGTTATAGGAAAACTTGCACCTAAACTCAAATTCGCCCACAGTGCAAACTGGTCGGTGATGACACTCCAAAATTCTTAGTCAATCAACCACTTATCCGATCCCTATCTGTCCACCTGACGAGTCTCGTGCGATTGGGCTTTTCGGAATCCGAACATACCTTTACATCGTACAGGTGTATTTCACGGACGAAGTACGTTGCGAGGCCAGACAAGTATTCTGCACTAAACGCTAAGAACAACGCCATCTTCAGCCAATCAGAATCGAAGAATCGGAGAGAATCCAGTTCACTTGGTAACAGACACTAGTGCAACAACTGTCAGTGACTATGTAAGGTTTCGTTCTAGTAAAGTGAGTTTTCAAGCGGCCTCCAGGGCAAGGACGTATCCATATCCCGTCTGAGTCTTTTGAGGTATACATCTTTGTGCTATTCCGAAGCGTCGATGAAATGCCGCGGTAAAATAGTCGGTCGCACCAACGAGCTTCGAGACTGGTCGTTCAAAACCATTGATTGAAAATCTCCGACTCATAATGGGCAAGTCCTGTCTCCGTAAAGTGGAACAGGGCAAACAACAGCGTGGTCTGAGTGGTGATTTCAGTCCTGCGCTGTGAAGCCTTCATTTGAAGGAATACTCTCCTTGGATTGCTAATCCGGCATTTCGCTTCATCTCTGGTGTGAGGGATTTATATGCCTCAACCGTTTTAACTGTAGAGTCTCGGTCTACATTCTGTTTTCGTATTGGTTAGACGGGTTTTGAAGTCCGTTTTTGCATCGCTAATCTTCAGATCGATCACAGCAGCATGATGATTGATACGATTAAGTCCATGTCCAAGGGTGTCAAAGCGGTCACCGAGGAGGACGATATCGTCGGCTAGTCTAATTCAAATGAATCAAGTGAAAATAATAGATAATCGTTCAGTTAAAAGACCCTTTAGACGCCTAACTGCCATGCTATACTAAGGAAGCACATGGGCTGAGACAATGCCGGATTGCCCAAGTCTAAACAGGAGAGCAGTCAAGTTGTCAGGGTTGGGTTCGGACCGCGGACCATATAGTTATTAAGTTCGCGCCTTAATCACAGAGAGGTCTTGGACTCAGTTAGACCCCGTGGTAGCCCTCAGGGACTCGATCCATTATCCAGTTTGTTTCATAGTTGAAAAGGACTGGAAACAGTGCACATTCTATCGTACACTGGTGCTCACCGAGTATCTCGCCGCACACCCAGCTATGGGCTTTGGTAGTAGTGTGTTGAACTAACCAAACGTGTGATTTTTAGTGGTGTCCTATCGTTTACGATTATTTTTCACAGGGCATCGCGATCTGGCGAGTCAAAAGCTGTGCAAACGTCGGCAAAACGTGCTGTCATCGTTTGTTGAATATTGAAACGATGCTTCAGTATTTTCCACAACGCATTATCTGCCAAAGTAGAATACTCCTCGATTAGTGCGTGTGTGTGCACCACTTTCAGCTGCAAAGTCTGTTCGCAAGAGTGATGCGAGGATTTTACTACATTACCTATAGGCTATAGGCTATCTTATCGCTTTTCTTATGTAGCTGATAGGGCAATGGGGGCACTACGGTTGGCTGGTTTTGCCTCTAGTCCTCAAGGAAAACCCTTTTAATGAAAAGAGTGAAGAAACTCTGTGATTCATTCTCTTGATGGTCACGGCAGTCTGTTGCTAGCTCGTTACAGACGGAAGTGTGGTCCTTGGGGCTTTCTTGAGGTGCTCCATATCAAGCGAGACAGTTTTCCGGGATCGTCGGTGTTAGCAGATTTTTTCCCTTCATCTCTTCACAGTACTAGTTGCCATCATCCCGGGTTGAGTGCGTCGTCCTAAGCCTTGAACGGTGATAATATGACGACTTCATAAATCATAGATTTTTTTCAATACAGAGACACACGTGTTCTTTTCTGATATACGGTCTTTTACGGAACCTCGGATTAGGTTAGCGTATTGTGTAGTAGCCTACAAAATAGGCCACTGGACTTTGACTTTCGAACCGTGCTATAAATGTCCCATCAATTTGGAGTTAAGTTCTTAATGCTCAGGGATAGTCATGGTTTCGGAATAAGCGAATGTGGAAGCGCTTTCTACAGCAGCGCATCGGACGTGTAGTTATACGTAGTTTGAGCAATGTATGCAGTCCCTCCCGTTATCAGTTTCTGTAGTCTTCCACTGAACAAGTCCAGCGACAGTCACGTTTGTGAGCTGTTTTCCAGTCGTTGAGTACGATGTCAGATGGATTTTTGAGTGTCGTGAACATCTATTGAAAACGCAAGTCCGTTTTAGATCGGCAGCATTTACCAGACGTTCGCCGCCTCCAAATCGTTGATCGAGATCTAAGTGTCCCAGAGTGTGGCGCATCGTGTCATTAGGTTGGCCACTGCAGAGGTCCCAGTCTCCCGCTATTACGAGGATATCTCATCTCGCCACCCGATCAGTGGCAGTTTGCGGCTAGTCGTAAGATTCGTCATCAGTTGGTTGGTCGGGTGGTAGTGTCAAGGCGCAGACCGATATGACGGTGAAGTTGGACGAGTGGCTTTTGAAGCAAGCTAGCAGGGTCGTCAGAAGGAGTGAGTTTATCCGAGAGCTGAAGACTTCACTGGCATTAAGGCTAAGAACTAATGCAATCCCATGTTGTCCATAACAGTCAACGGATTCGGGATAATACAGTTAGCATTACTTGGAATCTTGGTACGGTTCCATCCTGAGTGGGCAGACTTCAGGCGATGTTGACGTAGTCATATAGAGTATGCAGGACGATTGCCTGGTTTCCGACGTGGAGAAATGTCCTGAGTTCAAGCGCCCGATCGTATTCTAATAACGGATGGTTAGCCACATCCGTTTGGCTTGCAGATGACGTATTGCTTACGCGCGACCCCTTGGCACGACGACAATCGCTGCTGTGAAGATGTATACTCAGAGTTTCACGGAAGTGTGGCACAATCAGTTTCCTCTCTGCTGATTGACTTTCCGTTCGAATTCCCCCCCCCGTGCTTTGTAGAACCATGTGAGACATTCAGGGAAGTAAGAGAAAGATGTTGATCACCATTGTGCAACGCTCAGGGACGACGTCGATGGGAACTGAAGACATACAACAGCTGACGTCTGCTAGTTCATTAGTGTCCATAATCCAACAGTTTAAAATGACCGGTTTTGGTTACACAAGACGGTGTATATTTTGCCATTCTTTCCGTTCGAACCCCCCCCCCCCGTGCTTTGTAGAACCATGTGAGACATTCAGGGAAGTAAGAGAAAGATGTTGATCACCATTGTGCAACGCTCAGGGACGACGTCGATGGGAACTGAAGACATACAACAGCTGACGTCTGCTAGTTCATTAGTGTCCATAATCCAACAGTTTAAAATGACCGGTTTTGGTTACACAAGACGGTGTATATTTTGCCATTCACAAGGACGAATTATCACTGTGCGATAGATGTATCTAAGGCTAAGGGAGCGGGTGCTTGTACAGCTGCGTTACGCACCTCCTGGTATAACGAGAACGAAGTTATTAACCGTAGTTTAGGGTAGATACAAGCATCGATCACCTAACCAGTATACCTTGTAGCAGCATCAAAAGCAGAAATACGCCAAGGCCATCCTGAAGCTTTGGGCGCGAAACACATCCTGCTCTGTACTCCCGCGCCTGACCCAATAGATCTTCATCATGGACACGCTTAGAAGGAGATGTATACTTCATCTTGCCTCAGGAAAGTTTGGTCGTATGCACTGTTGAGACGAGAGTTACGCAAAACATTTACGGTATTTATCTCATCGGCTAATTGCTGCCGCATGTCGTCATTCCAGCTTCAACCGTTCACCCGTGGTAAGGTATTTACTTAGGGTTGTCAACACACGGTCGCTCTTCCTGCTCAGGGCACAGGCCAGCTGAAATGCAATGACTGCCCGTCAGCTCCACAGTAGTAACAAGTGCCCACTGTCTCGTGCACTTTTTCCCTAGATTTTTAACTACTGAAAATGCAGCAGTAGCAAATAATGGATGTAGCGTTCCGCTTCACCATGGCCCGAGCCACTTTCGTGCTCGCTTGGGTGCCTGCTGCTCGCGCCGAGTTCCATGAAACGGCCCCACACTAGAGAGGCAAGTAGCTCTCAAACAATTAGTTGAATTTTTCCAGAACTGTCCCTTAACCTCCGATTGTAAATACCAAGCAGATCAGAAGAGGAGTTTGTGCGTTTGGTACGCTTCTTGCCTCGTTGTCTTACCAACCGCGTTTTCCACAATAGTGAACATGTTGCCCGCAAATGTGGAGACACTTGAATTGGTGCATTTGACTATCAAGGCCTGTACCTGAAGAGCCTAACAACGTCACTACCAAGAGCACAACGCAGCTGGATAAAGCAGCGTTGCAACGCGCCATGGCTGCTTATGATCGGTCGACGGCCTAATGGTTTTGGTGTACTCTTCACCAATTCGCTTCTTATTTCCGTGTTACCCAGGCCGTATCCAACTAATATAGCAGGTAAGAAGGTGGAAGTAATATGAATTCTATCAACGGAGGATTCACGAACACAACTTTAAACTCTTGAAAGCGTTGGTTGGCTCGAGATTCCGTGGGCATAGTCCACGTTTACAAACTTTGGCGACGCATTCTTCCATGGTGCGATCGTATATGATCATCTGATAGTGCACTGGGCACTAATACTCAATATACTCATCCTCACTTCGGTGTTGGCTCTGGTTACCCCACTTAGGTTTCGGATTTCCACATTGCCCTAACTCTATATAGGAACATTATGTCTATCCTGTTGATCTTTTGCAGCATAATTTTTACTTCCCACTAACTTCATAATCTAATGTTTTACCGTAGAACCGGTCAGGATTACAGCATCAGTAAAACCTTCAGAGTACTTTCTGAGGCGATGGAGCGTTTGCATCAAGCATCAAACAATAACGCAGACCCTGAAGCTCTGAGCTTATCCCCGACAAACATCGGTCCATCTGCTGCTCCTGCTCTACCATTTCCCCCCGCGGGTCCTGCAGCTCCATCATACAGTGCTCCAGTTCATCCTGCAGCCAACCATCCCCTCACGGCGCAAAATGGATGGGGATCTCAGCCGGCCCCACCACAATTTAGTCCTTTCGATTCACAGCCTAACCATAATCAACCCGTAAGTCTACCTTGTGTTTAGTCTTTGGTTCAATGTCGCAAAGCAAGGATAACAGACGAACTAGTTCGCAAATGTACCGTTTTTCTAACGCTTTAAATTAGTAAAACGGCTTTTCAGTGAACTCACTTCTAACTGCACGGAGTCCACAGAGTCGTTTTCTGTAGGAAATCTTCGAAATCTTAATCTGAAGTAATTATGTTTGGAATAACCTGTCCTTTTATGTCCCTTATCGTAATTGTAGGTTCTCTACTTATCGCAATGTACCAGATGTGAACATTACCGATAGATCCTTTATCATTGCCTTCTAAATAGGCGAGAACAACATAACAAAACGTAACTCATGAGCCGTAGACCTTTTCCAGTTTGTCCGGTTTAACGCTATCACTGCGTTTTTTTGTTGAGTACTCCTGGTTTTTTTTTTACAAACAGCCAGTGATCCTGGTCTTCATAAGTTTTTCTATGTCTTATAAAATCTTATTAGAGTTTTCCTGCTAAACGAATCCTGGATATTGATGGGAGTTAAGTATTTTCAGTTTTTTTTTGGTGAGCGTCAAGTAGCACCAGAACATCAGACTTGGCTGTGGTCAAGCTTTTGTCGCATTTCAAAAACCCTTATGTTATCAATATAATTAACTTTTTCCTTACCAACGGCATCGGTATGAGGCATAAATCTTAGAATGAACCTTCCATTTGTATATTTTCCACATATCCATGCCCATCAAGAAAAGTTCGCGAACATAACTCACCGATAGCCGAGAAATATTTTAAGTAGCTTTTCCAGAAGAGTATGTACTAACCGTACTTCCTGCGCAAACTTAAAGGAACGTGTGAGAAGCTGAGACGGAGAGAGCTTGGATTGATTTGCATGACCTCTTCATATCTAATCGAAAAATAAAAACTTGTCTACACAAGTGTATTATCCGGGCAACAGCCTAAGATCAAAAGTACGTTCGTCGCAATGTTCGTACGTTCGTAGGCTCTGAGTTCCATCAGCTGTATAGCTCTTTTAGGTGCACAGAGGTGCATCCAAGTTATTGCTTTCAGTGCACAGCTCCCTTCTCAATTCCCCCACTTAACAGTCCACTGATAGTGTTGTATTTACGCAACAATTTATCAGCTCCCGCCTCCAATCCGCAGCTAACTATCCCACCTCCCCAAATCATCGATGAACGAAAGTGTAGTAACTACAACCACTGTATGACAAGTACGCAAGAAAGGGCACTCCTCCGGGACAAAATTTCGAATTCCCTAGGCACTGACCCCAACAGTGCGAACCTAACGCGCAGACCTGTTGTGGTCACTCTGTAGACTGCTCCATTTGGTGTAGTACTCTATACTGGTTATTTAGCATCGACAGTCGACAAACTATGGGTGCACTAGTGTATATAGTAAAGAGTCCAGTAATTTATGAGATATGAACAAAATATCCACCTTGGACATTTTGATCAATAGCCTGGCATTCCGACAGCTCATCTAGTGTCGCCACACGGTGGGATGAGTGTAACTCCCGACCAATATCTTGTATTGGACAAACCTACAAGAGCCACTCCTGTTCCTCGAGCCGGGGTTCCAGGTTTCTCTTCAAGCAACAACAAGGGTATGGCATGTACGCAACACTAGTTGGACCTGGGACATGTCGCCTAGCGGATTTGATACTGAGAGTACTACGCGTGATACACCAAACCATAGTACATCATGTTTGTTGACCATGGGAATCTGAGCACCCTATGCAGTTTTTCTTCACGTTTAACATATTTCCTCGCATGTTTTAGCTTGAAGGAAGTGGACTTGGACCCACAAATTGGGATGCTGCCCCTCCACCCGATGAACGCGAAGGCACGGACTTCTATCAAGAGCATTTGCAACCCACTACCACACAATCGCCTCAACCAGCACCTTATGGCGGCCCAATGCCTCATGCCGGCAGCAACCTAGAGACCGCCGGTAGTGGATACGGTGAGTACCAACCATATGAACCGGAAGAGACGGAGGGTTCGCGTCGTGTGCCTGATGAGTCAGAAGACAGCCGAAGCGAGACTATCGAAGCTGATGATCGATGGGACGCAATTAATCGACCTGATGGCAGGCTGCCGTTCCAACAACCGGATGCTATCACCACAACGACGTGGACATCCACGACACCGTCGACAACTACATCAACCAGTGCACTGCGTCGGAGTTCAGTTACTTCCCCAACACCGTCCATACCAAAACATACTGAAACCCGTATCAGTACGACTATTAATACGACCACCACCACTACAACCACGCCGTCTACATCAGCGGCGACGGAGGCACCCATAATCGTTCCCCCTGCAACCCACTGGCGCGCTCCAGATGCTCCACAGATCACTCCACCTGTTGGACCCCCAACGCCACCACCACGGAAATCACATCCCGATGAACCTCTCTATGGAAATTTACCAGATGATGAAGACAACATTGTGAGACAAGGATTCCAACCATTTGGTTCTACTTTGCCACCCACCTTCCCGAAGCCTTCCTGGCCTGAAGCGCCCGATCCTGAGTCTCAAAGAACTTGGTGGAAGGTGAGTTTGTAGTGCTCATACACATACAACCAAAGAGCTGTAGGTGTCCTTAGTTGAGCGGTAGTCACGCCGGTTATAGTCAAAACGGCTCGCCCTAAAAGATCATGGTCCTCTTTTAGTTTGCTAGCAGTCAACTTACAGCACTTTCTCATCTCTGGTTCACCGTAGTTCTTTACGAAGTCGGACAGCGATAACCAGTCGTTTTGACCAGGAGCTGAACCGTGTTCTAGTGGCTATTCATAAGAGATCAACTCGGGTTTCCACTCAAGGTTCTCGAGTTGGAACGTCCCTCCTTTTTTCAGAACAAGAAAGTGACTACCCACGGTTCGACAAAGGTGAATTGCGAACATCGTTGTGAGCTCTTGTTACCGTATTCTCATCCGTGCACTAGGAGTCGCTGACAATGCAGCGTCTTCATGTCCGTCACCTTTTTGTAAGGAAATTCGCACTATTCGGCCGACCAGAAACCAGTCTCAATCACAGCTCATTGTTGAGATGGCTTGTGCAGAGCTTAAAAACGGGTTTTATATCGGATTTCACGCCCAATTCACCAACTAGATCTCTCCTGCTACAGTTTGGAAATACCGTCTTGACAAAGTGGTTTTTTGTCGGAAGCGATTGGGCCGACAGTGTAAATTTAGGGGGTCCTATAGAAGGGCGGGCTTGGGTTTCACCCATGCTGTTCTTGGGCAACAATATCCCTAATGCTAAATCATGAAAATTGCTGTTGCACGTATCACCTTTCATGACAGCACTGGCACATACTTTTCTGGACACTCATTCTAACTTGTTAGAAAACAGCCTCTCAGTGGCTGAAAGCAACTCGCCTGGTGGTTTACATATTCTCTAGTTACTTGCTTATTCTCTGGTTCTGTACAACCCTCGGCAACGTCTGCTGCTTATTACTGCTGTTTGCAGTAATTGTCTAGATGGACTAACCAAGAAGTTTATCACGTTTTGCTGCAGTGCAGATACTTCTTATTCTGGTATCTCTGCAAACGACTGATTTCTCCAACCGTCAGTTATAACGAGGATGACATGAGATCCTTCCATTAACTCAAACTACACTGTCGCTCACATTGAGAGCACAAACTCGTCAGTAAGTGATGACCGCAATCCGAAACACCGCATTTTTACCTTGGACCAACGCTAGTTGGAACATTATGAGTCACACTCCTCCAGTGCAACATGTAAACGAATCAGAGAAGTGGTGGTTGGACCATTTCAAAGCACACACCGAAATGGACCACTTATTCAGTGAATGTGAACGGTCCATCTTGATTGCAAGCGGAAAAAGTCAAAATAGGTGACCTTAATCTATACTAGTCGGTCTTGTTGCGGATACTGACATACCGCCCTTTTGCCTTTGTTACCTTGTTCCATTTCCTTTCAGGATCCGCACTCGGAAGGCAGTGGAAGCGCCGAAGCCGGCGTAGGCACTCAAGCTCGACCTCAGGTGCCAAGTTACCCCGGTGGTAACTATGGTCCAGACATGGGAAAACCAGAACCGTCCGTTCCTGACGCACCGGTCCACTACTACCCAGGTAGTGGCCAAAGTCCGTTCCAAACCCAACCTGACGAAGGTTATCCTGGACTGTCGCAATTCATCACCGACCGTCCAGCTGGTGCTCCGCTCGATCCGCAAACCGGAGATCGATCAACTGGCTGGACGAAGTATGTTCAGGATCCTCTCCAGCCGTATCCCGCTCAACCGGGCAGTGGGCTTGGAGACAACACGTGGGATGACGGTAGACAGGACAGCTTACCAGGTAGATTAACATCGAGTTTATGCTGATGCAATATCTCCTCAAAAGTACATACCAATTAGAGGTTTTTATATATCTCATTGTGTTAATAATGCGTAATGTTCATTCCGGTCAGGTGTCCTACTCCGTGAAATCCACCATTTAAATGTGTCCCAAACTTGGGTGCGGTTAGGTAGACTGTCTAGTCACGAACCCCGACGTTCGCTTTAAGACATAATTCACGCATCTTTCTTCCACCGTTGCTGACCATAGCAATACCTGTCTATTCCATGCGTGAAATCCCTAAACGCACTCAAGGCAGCGGGGTCTATCCAGTCGCACAAACTGTTGCCCTAGCGAGCATTAGGACATAGGAGTTATGCGCGACTCGACTGCTTTAAGTCGAGTGGAAGCATTTCCCACTGCCGGACTCATGCTTCTATACGTTGACCTGACAACAATCTCTCCTTCTTCTAGACGGACTACCCCGCTGGCAGGAAGGTCCTGCTGGTAGTGGCGCTCCTGACCCAGTGAAATTTCCACCCACTTCCGAGATCCAACCTCAGATTCCTCCAGTGGAAGCGCCACCCCAGCTCCCGGTTCTTCATCCTCTTGTCAAACCGAAGCCTTCAATACCCTTCCCACCTCTACCTCCACCGGAAGTCTGGGTCCCCGCACAACTGGCTCCTGGTCAACCTATTCCTTCTGTTTTGCTTGTCCGGGAGTACAATGTTCAAGAGCCGCTATACGGTCCTGAGGTCGTACAAAACAAACCCAATCTGGCATCAATACGTCACCCCGTTGCCACTCTGGTCTTCGTTTGTATTGCTACGTTGTTGATCTGACTATCATCCATACATTATGCATGTAAATAGATAACAAACTTGGTTCGTATAGGACCGATGTACATTGAACCGGGCCACACCTGATGTCATGCATGGTTTCTTCTTATGCTAGATTCACCGGCGTTTCACACCCATGCTTTTCTCACTGGACTACTCATTCATTGTTTGCTCGAATGTTTTTTTCCAAATTACAACTCATTGTTAGTCATATATTACGAAACAAATAAAATCACAAGTCGGTGTCAAACAATTTGTGATATACTAGCAAGGTTATCCTGCACTGCGCGGGCGGCTGCCTCATTTGCAGGCCTCCATGTTATTTCGGAAGCTGAGGCATTAGGATTTTCGTCGAGGGACTGGCTATCAGAGCACGCAAAACGAAGCGCACCCTCTGCGAACCAGTAGTCTAACAGGTTGGGGCAACGAAACAGCAAATTCAAGGCGGAATACAATCCCTCAAAGAATGTTTGTGGTTCCTGTTCCGGTGTTGTAGACAACTTCGCCAGGTCACTCCTTTTCAGAACCTTTGGGTCCCTGAAACGCCAATCGCACCCGAACGGCATAATTATTAATTCACAGGAATTGGGGTCGAAGACGTTCACCACACGCACCTCACCAGTTTGCAGCCGGGCTAGTCGCAACGCGGGTAGGGGGCCTCGGGCACTCCAGCTCAGGGTAGCGGCAATAGCTGTGTTCGTCTGCCAGTTGAAGGCCATACCCATTATTATGGGACGGCGCAGGGCTTGGTGTCGACAGGAAGCCTGCGAGTTCAACTCCACTGTTGTGTTTAGGTCAGCTACGCAGAAGGTTTTCAAGGTGTACAGAGAATTGCCGCATAGCATTTCCGACATGACGAGATCCAACACTCCGCGCGACAAGTGACCGTCATCTGTGAAACCTCCGATTATGTGTGCGTCGACTACACAAGTTCCCCTCGGAATAAAATATTGCTCTATTTGGGTGAAGAAATCGCTGACACGATCGCGGTGATCTAAATGCACCAAAGTACAGGAGCGAGGAAAACGCAAGACAAGAATCAAGCAAGAGGTTGCGTCATCGGAAGCCATCACCGAAGGCAATCCCTTACTTTCTAAGTCGCAGGGAACTGTTGCCATCTCACCTTGATGCACGTAAAGCAGGTTGTGGGGTGATGAGAACTGGTGGACGCGTTCCCTAAAGTTCGATGCAGCCAGCTTCACCGATGGCATTGAACAAATGCGGTCCACATAAGCAGGAACTTCTGACTTTTCACACTGGTGTTGTGTTGATTCAATAATGAGCGTCATAGACAAGTCCAATCCGATTTTCTAGCACCAGCCGTGCATGCACGTGCATGAGTTCCAAGCCCGGATCATCTGGAATGAAGGAATCATAGCTGTGAGGTACTATAAAGCATGAGTCAGGTATCAAAAGTCACTGTATTCTTCAACTTTATGTACACCGCTCTGTACAAAACCCAGAAGTCTTGCTATTTACAAAGTCATCAGTAGAAAAATACGGATGAATCTGTTCAGAGATTCAAAAATAGGGCGCCTCGGATTCTGACCAGTGTGCTTTCAAAAGCTGGTTGCATTATTTACAAGCTGCCTTCCTCAGGCAATAAGTATTGCAGACTTCGAGATATGTACATTAGATGTGGCCGATGTGTTCCAGGTGCTTATTAGCCCCAGCCGTTAACCTGCGGCGCGACGAGCTCCGACAGAGTTTGACGATTATCAGGATTTACAAGAGCAGGTAAATAGGCCTCGCTGCGTAGTATCCATTGTCGCCAATCTTTCAGTATTGTATACAGCACAGAACGCTTGAATCGCAATGCCTCTGACATGATCACTGAAATTGCTGCATAGCGTTGGGCCAAACTGCCGGATAGGTCATTCAGACGGGCGAAGATGCCGGAGCCGTCTGTTAAATGAAAAAGAGAGGTGTTATTTTATGTTCAACTGCTCTTACGAAATGACACTATACAAAAATCATTCACCTGCATGAGGTTCACGGACGATCCTCGTAAGGTCTCGAACAACTCGTTCATTCGAAATAAACGCATCCTTGTTTGACATCGCCTTCTCTGTTTGTTTTGAGAACGTCGGCAATGCGGGCGCTTGTTTTTGCACAACCGTCGTTATAGTGTCATCTGCTTTTCCGAAATATGTGAACTTAGGAAAAATGAACCAACCTGAGTGATTGGGAATGGGAGAGTTGGGCGGAGAGTTCTTCGGAGAAAATTCACGCCAGTTGAGGTGGTTAATGTAAGCGGGGAGAGGACCTACGGCAATTAAAGTACAAGACGCAGCACTTACCTTTATTTCGGACTACGGTGTTGGAACTCTTGGTGTGCTGTCTTTTTCGGCCCGGGACCACTAAAGTGGCGTTAGCGCCCCCGGGAACACCAGCAGTTAAGCCCATCTCGTCAACATATACTTCATCGGCAATGAAACTGGCTGTCGTCTTCTTTCGGAATGGATTGCCGAACGTATCTAGCCTTTCTGGGGATGGGTTTATTTCCCTGAGAACCGGTTCGAACTCGTGAGCCGCCTTGTAACTAAGATAATCACCCATAGTGGCAACTGGTTGTTCATGGACCGAGCTATCATGGGAATCAGTCTGCCGTCCGCCTAGTATGGCGTCTAAGTTGCGTCGCATCCTTCGCAGAGCAATCCGCAGCTTGCTTCTTTCCACATCAGCTGCGCGAGCATACGGGTGGGCAGCCGACTGAATTACACGTCGTCCTGTGCTAGGACGCAACTCACGCAGTGACCAAAGAGGAAAGGGAAGCAGAGAGGCCGGAAGCTAAAACAATATGCGAAGTAGTATATATCAAACCTTGATATTTGTGAAGGAGTGCTCTCCATTTTGTGTGGTGCGCACAAAATTGTCGTATTCTATTTTAGCAGCGTGCCGCAACTTTTGCAGTGTTTGATTCAATTGGTAGGGGCGAACACGATCAACGGCTTCAGGCTTAATCACACTCTGGAATCCAAATCTTTCAAACGCCTTTGTAAGGGGCTGAGCGAGCATATATACGAGGAAGCAGACTTACCATAAAGTAGTAGCGGGGAATGCTACTTAGGTAGCCTACAAACCTGTGCCCCCATGCTTCACTCATTCGCATGTGGTGTACTTCGTATAACTCATCTAACAGATAGTGATTCGAAATACTGACTTACTTAAGAGATGACAAAAATTTGGATAGTCATATGGGAGTACATGCAAGTGCACTGTTTGAAGATCAGGTGATGACTTGAGATATCCGAACGGGGCACTCTGTGCATGCTTGCCATCAGCTCCAAAGCACTGCCACACCTTAGCTGGATCCCGGATGCAAAGCATTTGAGTAAAAAGCGATGGCTCAAGTTCATATCGATCGACAGGGAAATATTCAGGCACATTAGGTATTTGGACCTGCGATGTAGACACAAAAATCCTCGGGTGTGCAGGTCGCGCAGGCTGCAATTAATGTAAACACATCAGTAACAGCCTTACCAAATGAGAGGAAATCAGCTCATCATCAAGCCAAAACGTTTCCGGAATTGGCCAGTTCGAACAGACTCGACCCATCAATTTGATGTATACCAGCTGTTTGTGCGTGTTTTCGTTATGAGTGGAAGTTTCCGACTGCTCAAAATCAGCACCGGGTGTGAAGTCAATTACGACCGCAGGCTGGCATTTCGGAGCTAAGGACTCTAAACACTGTTGCAACTCCCGATTGTCTGATACGTAAAAGCCCTTTCCACCGGTAAGTTCAGAGGTTTTAACCACGGGCAATTCATTCATATCCGACTTTTGGAAAGTGGTGTCCACAGTTTCGACAAAACCGGGATACCGTAAAATAACAGAATAAAGCCGGTAATCCCAGCGAAATGAATCATTGGTCAATGGCTGTCCAAATATTGTTGTCTCAATGGAAGACATTGACACATCCTAGTCGGAGCGGATATCACAAAGAAAGAAGTGGTACCTTCAATATGGACTCGTCTAGACTAGTACTGCAACATCCATCAGTAATGCACAATATTACAGCAGGCTCAATATATGACGGGAACATACCCTGAAATGGAAAGTTAACTGTGAGGAGCCAACGAAACCCATACCATTCCGTAATTCTCCAGGCCAAGTTGAAGCCGGTTCAAGTTAAGCATACGAAACGTCCGCTGCAAACCCACGCTAAGTGGCGTCTGTCCGTCAGCCTTAATAGTATTGAGCGCAGCGTGAATACACTGAAGGTCCACATTTTGTCTCCAGCCTGCTAGCTAAAATCATTATAAATAAATGAAGCAAAAATCCCTACTTTAACGTATTGACAGTCATCGTCAAGAGTCAATATAAAATAGCGATCAACCCTGGACTTGTTTAAACGGATCTAAAGTAGTTTTCATTTAAGGCTGTAAATAGTCCAACCTTGAAAAATAACTCGGTTGCAGATTTCGCGACATCGAGCAACGTAGTCCCTTGAATTGTGCGCTGGTTCATAGACGCGCTATTGTCGATCAGAAAAACAATTATCGTCATCGCAACCCCTCAAGGTCATCAGCGCAAGCCAGCCAATCGTGACGCAGTAAGGCCGCGCAACGTTGGACAAGCGAACAATCTAATGCCGCGCGCCTGCCCTGCCGGCGCTTTTATTACGTGTGGAAGGTCGTACTGCCTTCTGATTGGCTGATTCTTGTTGGAGGCTCATACAGAGCAGTCGTAATGTTACATCGATTTTCTTCTTCTTATACACGTTTCTGCATGAGTTTTCAATAGCATTCCAACCCTACTTTTATTATCTACCAAAATTTTCCAACTAATGTGCATTGATCGAGTTTTTCACGAGATGCTTGGTGAACAACTTTTCTCTCTATATGAGCCTCCGAGCGCATCGATCTTTGGCATTAACCCCCCTTTGCGCCATCGTCTGAGGCGGGGACGTGCGACCGGAGCGGTGGGCTCTGCGACTGCAGTTGGTCCAAAGTGCTGGCTTAATTGTGCCGTTGCCGGGCTGCTCGGGCATCTGTGCTCGCCGCGTACGCAAGCAATGGCATACGGAATCACTGCAACCATTGCCACCAGTTTCCAACTGCCGCCAACTCGTCCAGAGCACGGTAATAGAATAAATTACATGGGTATTCAGATCCCGGTTTTATGTAGATCAAGTGACCGGCCGATATAGCTTCAGGGATTACAAACCATGGGACCCTGTGTTCATTTTGCACTAAAATGTAGCACCCAACGATACCTTGACATTTGTGTCAAGCGACAGTAGGAAGATAGTCTCCGTATTTTATCTACAGAAGTCAAGACAGGGTCGGTGTGACATTTTCGTTGACGTTCGAAGTGGAGAGGCTGTGTCTTCGTTTGCTGAGGTGTTATTTGGCAGCCAACTAGCCACTGTTTTTCCCCCAATCGTTTCTGGTATACCTAAACCTAAGCGAAAAGTTGGTACGACAAGACGGTTGCTTGACTTTCATACTGTACTAGTTTTTTTGACAGGAATCGCATAGTTCCCCCGGGTTATCAACCGGTTTGGTTGGTACGGTCGACCGTATTTGAATCATAAGGGTTTCTGACCGTTTTTCACCAGGAACGAACCAAACAGGACATAAGCCAATTGACTTATCAAGGACTACACAACAGCGGATGCATAAAGAGCGATCTCTATCCTATACATCCAGCAGCTCGACTTCCACAGCTTCGGTGCGGACACGACCATGAAAGCACAAATGGTTATATAGAGTAATCTCTACAAAAGTGCAGGAGTTTTCTCGACTACTGTGAAAAGTTCACACTGAATCAACTATCACTCACTGGACTATTTCTGCTGAACTATGCTGTATGTGTACGGTCATAGGAAGCAGGCGAACTATAGCACAACAAATGAATACTTGAGAAGACATAATAATTCTGGCCTGGAACTCTACAGACGTTCCGAACAGCCTGGTGATAGTGTGGTTCACGAAATCACACACAACCTGCTTCGACACGCACGCCGCTCAGTATTGACACAGTTCATTTCAATGCCATGGTTACTAATAGGAGACAAGGCTATGAAAATTGGCTAGGGTCCGAAACCGTCTCAGTATTGACACAGTTCATTTCAATGCCATGGTTACTAATAGGAGACAAGGCTATGAAAATTGGCTAGGGTCAATCCGAAACCGTCCAGACAATAAACAGATAGTCAATGCTGTTTTAAAGCATACTGTCAACTTTGTCACTACCCGCGCTGGAAGATATAAGGGATCTCACTTCCCAGGTGATTCTGTTCGTTTCAGCAGCCTAATTTATCGAGTTAGATAACGTAGGATCGCCCCTGTCTTCCCCATAAGTTGGGTTGAAAAACACAGATCCTGTCGGAAATCAAAACGAGAATTTATAAGAGTTAGTTTGACAAGCGGATTTTAAGTTAGTAAAAACTTAAAAGTTATGGTACTGTTACTTAAAGACGAAGATGAATCGTTGTAGTTGAGTAAATTCTGGCCCCTGGATTGGGTTGTATAGTGAGTACGTAGCCTATCTCATCTAACTTATCATGGGTGACTAGTTAAGACCGAATACCAATACAAAGAACCAGTATAGCCGCCACAGTTGACTGATTGGCACAGTGCTTTCGGCGCGTTGTCTCCGCTGCCTACGCGGTTCTTATGCGCGCAATCGACCGTCGTTCTCACACAATGGTGCCACATTTATCGGAACGCTACCGTTGCCATGTTTTACACAAAACCCCATGCCTGAAGCACACAGCAACGCCATCGCACAAAGCAGACACATGCAGGCTCAAAAGAAGTAAACAGTGGCACGGCACTTGTCTGGTCAGTGTTTGTCTGATCTGTTTGCCTGTATTTGGGAGAACAAGACTGTTCCAGATAACTGAGAAGAGTCGATTATAGTGCTCATTTAAAAAGGGTTCGTAGCGATTGTGGTAATCACAGGGGGGGAGCTTGACCCCCGCCGTATCGAGACTCTCGGCATCAACTCTCCTTCGCCGTTTGTAAAACACTGACTTCAAAGCAGACAGCGGGATTCTGGTCTTGCAGGGGCTGTGTTGACCTCGTGTCCACACTCTGTCAAGTGCCAGAACAACTCCATACGTGTAACTAACTTACAATTTCATTATTCCTGGATCTTCAAGGCTCATTCGACTCTTTATCACGCTTACCATCAAGTAATGCCCCTGAAGTTTGTGAGCATAATAGGTTATTTGTTTTCTCAGACTTTCGGACGTGTGAAATTACACGGAGAGCTCTTCAAATGCTTCCGTACACAAAGTGTTGTCGGTGAAAGTTGCTCACTATCCATTCCTACTAAATTTCGCGATCGACGAGATAATGAGGCAGGGGTTGCAAGGTCATCAAACCCCCTGAGGGTCAGCTTGTCGATCTGGAATACGCAGGCGACATTGTTCTCATCTTCGAAGAACGGAGATCGCAGATATTTTTGGGTACACTGACCATGTACTTTGTACCTATAAAGTGTAAGTTCACGCTTCTGAGCGTGCACTCACTGAACACATCACTTACAATCCAAGGAGAGATACCGGAAGTTATCGACCGTCCTACGTATCTCTGTATTAGTTGTATCAGTCTCAACTCTACTGTGACGGAAGAGGTCAGTGCAGGAGCCTGCAAAGCCGGGTCTCGTTTGCTAATTTGAGAAATCTGTGGCATCAAATTTTTGTATTCCTGAATCTCAAGGAACGTGTGTATCATGCTACAGTACGCACTGTTTTGTTGTATGGCTGTGAGACGGCTTGTTCGAGCATCAAAACTGAGATGTCTTCTGAAATCGTTGTCTCAGAACTTTTGCTCGTGTGGGTTTATGTCGGCGAATCCGTAACGAGGCACTGAGAAAACTAGTTTTTGATTGTGCAACTGGGACTTCCATCCAAGAGTGTGTCCAGAACAAGAAGCTAAAGCAGAACAAGAGGCGGAGTTGGCCAACCTCTGACCTCTCAGAGAGATATGAAAGAGATACTGTAATGTCTGGTAGCTGTCGATGCGACTTGCCTACCAGGATAGAGACTGCGTAATCTCCACTGCGCCTGGCTGGAGACGCTGTATGATATCAATGACATTCTTGTCTTCAGCCTCTATCAAGATTGTCTGAATGAGTGATAATGATGCCTGGAAGCACAGAACAACGTTTGAAATCATAATTACTTGATTACGGCACCTAGACCCCGACGACCTATTGGCAACGCCATGTGGATATCAGAAAATGACTCGTACCATTAGAGAGATTATTTGTGAATACTGCTTTCGAACCTAGTAACTCAGTGTGATAAATTCTGTTTTACGCCATCTATATTTAGCATCCTACCAACGTCAGCTGGGGAACCTCAAGCAGGCGGCACTTAAGTAAAATACAAGAATCTGGTTTAGAGCGATTCATTGAATCATACAATAGAGATAGTTCGGTACTCTTCAAAGCTCATAATTATAACAGCACTGTTTGTCTGACGCAACAAGGAGGCGGACGTTCATCTGTCAGATGGTGGAATAACGCGAAAAGCCATATATTCATAACTCTGTAGGGCATTCCGAAACTATTACATGTGCTCATTAGATGGCGATGCATTTTATTATATAATGGAACACTCGAGCGCCAACAGTATGGGTGGAAATACTTTTTCCATGTCCCTTTGTTGCTAATTTATTGGTGTTAGCTTATCACGGCAAAACCATCAGATAACAGAAGATGTCTCAATTCTTCCACTAGTAATAACTGAGCCCCACATCCATACAACAGCATGGTCCGTATTGTAGTCAGAGACACGCATCCTCGGGACTAAGAGTTCCTTTCTGGCCCCAAAAGGGGCGCGGATAGAAACCCCAGATTTTAAAGCTTATATGGAGGTTACCTTTGTTACATATGTCATCTCTCAGAGCTAATGCAGCTCCCTACTTATACGAGGTGGACCCTGACTAAATTTTTGAATTTGAACTTCGAGTGAGTGTGTCTTACACGATGACTATACATGTTGAGGATCTGAAGCACACGTCAAAGAATATATAAGTTTTTCAAAAAAAAACATACTCTTCTGCCTCCTTTTTGAAAATGAGAATACTATCATCTGCATGTCGTAGGTTGACAACTCCCCGTCTACACAGATGCCACTTCTGAGGCTTTGAAGATTCACCATCAATGACAGAAAACGGAGAAAGTGGACTTCCCTGTGGAACTCCGCTTGCAATGACACCTCTTTAGGTTTGAGAGCACCAAGAGTGAGTCATGTTCGCCTACTTCTAAGAGCTTCCACCACAGTACAAAGAGGTCAGAAGAATCAAATACACCCATAAGTCGAGTAACACAAAGATTTGATGACATTTGCACGTGTGTCGTCGCCTTAGCACTTGATGTAGTGTAAAGTTATGATTAGGATCAGACTTACCGTTCCCGGGTAACATCATCCTGTGCCACCAGAGGTGGATAAAACTAAATGTCACTAAGAATCCCAGTTTACACTGACACACACACACACACACTGACGATTGTCACCAGAATCGATTTACGTGGACTGCATTACATGC